GCTGTGTTCCTCCAGCTCTACACTGTGTTATCTCGGACTCCAGCATCGGCAGTTCTTACTATCTCCAACAATTCAAAACTGGACACCCATGAAGTGCTGGTGGCCACCTGCAGAATTATATTCAAATCACACAATCTGTATTCTAATTTCTGGCATTTTTGTCACTCGACCATCAATGGATCAGATTCAAACTCTGCAGTCCTGCCACGTCCAATCCTGAATGATGATAGACATTTGAATAACAAGAGTCGTCATTTCCACAAATATCCCAATCTTCAAAGATGGGGGAGCTCAGCACATCAGCGCAAAAGCCAAGATGCAAACATTTGCATGTACCTCCATCCACAAGTGCCCAGTGGATGATCCATCTCAATTTCCTCCCGAGTTCTGTTGCATCACAGACTTCAGTCATTTTGATTCACTGTGATATCAAAGAACATCTGGATATTGCAAAGGCTATGGGCCCTGATAACATTTCAGCAATAGTACTGAAGACTTGTGCGCTAGAATTTGTTGCACCCTAGTCAAACTGTTCCAGTATAGCTACAGCACAGGCACCAATTAGACAATGTCGAAAATTGTCCATGTCTGCCCTGTCTACAAAATGTAGGACAAATCACACCCAGCCAATTACTGCCCCAATCTACTTTCAATCCAGCAAAGTGATAAAAGTGCTATTAAACAGCACTTGTAAAGGAATAGCATGCTCACTGACACTCAGTACAGGTTCTACAAGGTCAGCACAGCTCCAGTCCAAACATGGACAAAAGGGGTGAACACAAGAGGTGAGGTGAGGGGACAGCAACTTCCCTTGACATTGAGGTAGCATTTGACCAAGTGTAGTATCAAACAGCCGAAGCAAAACTGGATTCAATGGGAATTAAAGTAAAACTCTCCAGTGGTTGGAGCCAAACCTAGCAAAGGAAAATCCTTGCGATTATTGGTTAGGACATTTTTCAGGGTAGTGTCCTACACCCAACCATCCTCAGCAGTACTTTCACAATATTCTATCAGAAGGTCAGTAGAGGAGATATTCACTGATAATTGCACAATATTCAGCACTATTTCAATCACTTCAGGTACTAAAGCAGTCTGTGTCTATGTAGAGTAAAACATGGACAACATCCAGGTCTGAGCTGATAAGTGGCAAGTAACATTTCACGCCACTCAAGTGCCGATGACTATCTCAAACAAGATAATTTAATCCTCACCACATGACATTCAGTGGCATTACCATCACTGAATCTTCCACTATCAACATTCTAGGGTTACCAGAAATTGAACTGAACTAGTCATATAAATACTGTAGCAAAATAAGCAACTCATTCTGTTTACCAAATGCCTGTCCAATGTCTATAAGGCACAAGTTAGGAGTGTAATTGAATACTCTCCATTTGCCTGATGAGTGGAGCTCTAACATCATTCAAGGGGCTCCACACCATTGGGTACTACATCCACTTATTCCCTACACCACTGGTGCAAGTTGGCAGTAATACTACAAAGATGCAATGCAGTAAATCATGAGGCCTCCTTCAACAGCACGTTCCAAACCCATGACTTCTATCATCTCGATGAATAGAGACACCAGAAGCATGGGAACACAATACTTCATGCTCCCCTCAGAGTCTCACACCGTCGTGACTTGGAACTATAATGATGTTCTTTCACCTTCGCTGGGACAAAATCCTGGAAGTCCCTAGCAACAGTGTGAACGTCCCTCTACTGTGAGGAATTCAGAGTTCGAGAAGGCAGCTCACCACTACCTTTCCCCATTATTTAGGAAAAGGCAATAAATGGTGCTCTAGCTCACAAAACCTACATCTCAAAGATAAACTTAAAAAAGAACAGCACCCCATACTGAACCAAAGACTTCATTTCAATGCAGAATCGAACCCATATACCAGGAACTGTATCTGATCCAGTATATCATTTAGCTTTTCAATACACTTTTTAGTGAAAAGTTCCATATCTAACAGAGGTGGTCACTGAAGATTGAAACCTGTCAGCATCAATCACTCCTGAGGTATAGCATAATTAGAATAATAGAATCCCTCTAGCATAGCAAAAGGCTACTGGGCGCATTGAGTCTACACGAACCTCCAAAGAGTATTCCACACAGACGTAGACTCCACCACCTTATCCCCATAACCCCACATTTACCACAGCTAACACTGCACATCCCTGGACACATCAGGCAATTTAGCATGGCCAATCCACCATACCTGTTCATCTTTGGGCTATGGGAGGAAACTGAAGCACTGAAGAGGAAATCCACACAGACACAGGGAGAACCTGAAAACTCCACGCAGACAGTCACCCAAGGCTGGAATCGACCTATGGTGCTGTCAGGCAGCAGTGCTAACCACGGAGCCCAAAGATCACTGAAGTTCCACCTAATCTACTATAATCTCCAGAGGCAACCATTACTTGCATCGATTTCAACTCTTTTTCAAAATCATGTTCAAGTGACCACAATACGTTACCATTTTAATGAACAATTTGGCCAACTCAATCATTGCAAGTTAACAGTAAAGTCTGTACAAATTGAATAGTATCCAATTGTAGGTGCCTCGCTTAAGAAAATACAAAGTCAGCAAAAGAATGCAGAAGAAATGAATGATATAAAAGATGGAAGTGTTTAATTTTTAGAGGAGACTGAAGAAACTGGCAGTCTTTCCATTACGACAAAAAAATTAAAACATTAACAGACATGTTCCAATTTGAGATATTTCAAAGATGATGAAACATTTCACTGATCAATCAACTAACAACCATAGGGTATAAATTTGTCACAAGACCGAAGGGAGATGTGAATATTTATTTCAATTTCCCTAAGGCTGTTGGGGCGCAGACTGAAACCCAAAAGAACTCTCAAAAGGTAAAGCAGATAAATATCTGGAAAAGAAAACTCTATAGGCTGGAAGGAAAAGGATTAAGTAGATATTTGAGAGCCAGCACAAATATCAGGGGAAGGGCAGGAAAGTGGAACTTGGGACAAGGCACTATCAGCATTCTTGGCAGCCATGCAGCTGTAACCCAACAAAAGTAACCAAGACAAAAGGAAGCGATTGAAACGTGAGAAAGAATTAGTTTTGCAGACATTGATGTTCATGCAAGTGATATTGAACATGCAAAAAAAAAAGGATGGCATACTTGTAAAAGCGTTGGGTTGTCTCTCCCAAGCTGCTGGAGAAGGGCTGGCAGTAGTGCCGGGTTCTGCTGTATTATCTGACGCATCTGCTGAAACTGGGGTTGGGTTCGTAGAAATTCCAGTGGGTTACCTGAAAAAGATCATAGTTAGTCACCTCCACAAACTAAAACAACAGTCTGTTCCTTAGTGGAGTGACTGCTCACCAACACAATCCGAGATTGTTATATTTCCAAAATTAACAAAAATTAGTCATTGCTTTCTGTGCTACTGACATCAGTGAAGTTCACCACATTACTCTGTTGCCCACACTGACTGACTGCACTCACTGCTTGGTGTAGATTGCGATGCTGGCTGTGATGGTGGTTGTGTTGTGACTCGAGGTTGTGGTTCCTCTGGAACTTCCGGCTCTGCCGGGATTCCCTAAATGAAGAGCAAAACACTTATTATACCTGCACCACAGGTAAAGACAAAACTACAAACTAACCTAATCTTATGAAACAACTGATGCAAAAATCAAGAGTTTCCCAAGATTAACAGAATCAAAATTACAAAACAAAGCAACTGTTCAGAGGTCAGAAAAGGTCAGTACCGAGCATACTTCATTCTTGAACATTGTCTATGTTGCCACTTTTTTTTTTCAGTCAAGTTTGTGACTCCCTGCCTTAACCAGGAAGAAATAAGCACATATTTTTTGCCATAGCTGTACGATTACTTGACTGGAAATGGTAGAACTGTCAGGCCAATTTTACTTGCAACTAAAAAAAAAGGCATATTAGTAAGCTATTGCCTCAAACTCAATCGATGTTATTTTTAAAAATGTTTAAAAAAATCTTGGAAATACTCAAGTCAGGCAAAGTCTCTCAAGAGAATGTTAATGTTTCAGGCTGATGAACTTTAAATGAACTGAAAGAAAAACTGATATTAAGTCAGCGGAAGCCAGGAGTTAAGAAAATAGAGAAAAAAGCCTGTGATAGAGCAGAGGGCAAAAGACTTCCTCGTACAACAAGCCAGAGTGAGATAGTGGACAAGATTTTTAAAAAATGACCAAATGAAGCACGAATGGCTATATTGCAGCAACCTGAATACATGAAGGGATAAGCAAAGAAATAAGACCAAGCAAGCAAACAAAAACAAGATGGAGGAAGAGGTTATGATCAAAGATCATTGAACTCAATATGGAGTCCAGAAGGCTATAAAATGCCCAGTCAAAAAATGAGATGCTGTTCATCAAATATGCATTGAGCTTCATGACAGCGAGCAAAGAACAAAAAGATCAGCATGGGAGCAAAGTGCAGAATTGAAATAAAGAGCTACAGCAGTGCAGGCTCATGCTTTTGGACTGAGCAGAGGCGTTAAGCAAAACAGTCACTCATCCAAGCACAGGGGATGCAAAACCTGTCCTTTTACCACTTCTCTTCCCACTCCTGAGTGGACATATATTTTTTCTTCTTTCAATCTAGCCGACTGTATTTGTTGCTCATATTGAAGTCTCCTTGACACTGGGAAGGCCAAGCCCTACCACAGGCCTTTCCCATTGCTCTTCCTGCCCTTGTCCCCTTCCACTGTTTTAAAACCTATTACATTACTGTCTTCTCTTTCAGTTTTGATGAATGGTCACTGACCTGCATCAATAAGTGCTTATTTCTACAAATTCCTCTGACCTGCTCAGTAATTCCAGGATTTTCTGCTTGTATTTAAGATTTCCAGCATCCACATTATTTTACTTTTATGTAAAAAGGCGTGTTGCCATTAATACTGTTTAAAACTATAATCAATCCAAGAGAGGTACAAAACAGCAAGTGTGAGACCAGAAGAACTGCCTTTAACAGTGGAGTCCAGCAATTTAATTAAGTCCTTCAGAAAGAAACCTATAAAGGACAGTGCTATGAACAGAGTATGCTAATTCAGCGTTCCTGCACAGGTTGAGTAACTGCTCTGCAAAACAGCTCCACTCTGTCCATAAGAATGACCCTGACCTTCTAGTTACTTGCTATTTCAATAAGCCACCTTGCTCTCATGTCAACATTTCTGGCCTGGGCATGCTACAATGTTCCGATGAAGTGCAACACAAGCTTAAGGAAATTCAGTTCTTTTCCTGTTTAAGCACTTTATAGCCATGAGGATTCAACAATCAAACTCAATAACTTCAGAAACTAACCACATGATGTCTGTTGTCCATTTTTCTTACATTGCCATCTCCCCACCATGTTCACTTTTTTTCCCCTCAGTAGAGAGAACACAATCTCTCCTTTTCACATCTCAACTTACACCATTTTACATCCCTTTTTCTCTTTTCCCCACCACTAACGACACCTTTATGTTTTGCACTATTCCCTTCATCCGTCCTTGGTCTGTCAAGAGCATGTAAAACGTTTGCCAACATCTTTCAATTCTGAACTTGAAATGTTAACTGCTTCTCTCTGCATAGATGCGGCAAGATAGGTTTCATTTCTCCTGCATTGTGTTATAGAAAATTATGCCACTCTGTTCATCTGCAATTTTAGTACTGGGAAGGTTATCACTCCTGGTTACCACCAGATCACTACTACATCACCAAAGACTTCAATGTTTGATAGTTTCCACAACGATTTTCAGTAGAAGAGTCTTCCAGTGACCTGCATAGTTCAGGAAGACCATAGTATGTTAAACAAAGACAAAGACACTGTTTGGCGTAATGCTAAGCCATGAAGTCCAGAAGATCCCAATCTCTAGCTGAGCTTAGGAAATAGAGTACTTGTTGTTTTGTACCTCCTTTGATTAAATAAAAATGCCAAAATTGATATAGTTTTTAAACACTATTGATGAAAAAGCTCCTTCTTTCAAATAAAAATAATGGGGATGCTGGAAATCTGAAATAAAAACAAAAATTCCATGAACTATTGAGAAAGTCAAGAGCATTTGTAGGAAGAAGCAGCTAACATTTCAGATCAATGTCAGTCTTGCTGGTCATTGTCAATTTTCTCTCATGCATTGGCACCAATGAATACCTCCCTCTACAGGCAAAAATAAACACTTCAAACTCCATCTGTGACTCACCGTCAGAAGATATTCCACAGCTCTGTCAGGGTTATTATAGCTTGCCCGCAGAGCTGCAAGAACCTGCTCCCGTTCGTAGCCCATTGACATGATTTCTGCCACCAGATTTTCATAAGCTTGCCCTGTTACTGGAGTAAATGTGCATAAATGAACCCATGCCAGTCCAAATGGAAACAAATTCACTGACAGATCTTAAAGTTTCAACGAACTAAAATTCAGTATTTCTGCTTTTTTTCTAAAAAAACTGAACATTATAAATTGGTTTTTGTGTTTTTTAACAAGTGACTTTTGCAGCCTTTTTATAAGACAGTAATTCTGTGACAAACACCAGAATTGCACCCAGGTATACTAGTAATGAAACATCTACATATCTTCCTTTTATGTAGCCTGTGCAGATTACACAGTGGAATAAGTGAAGCCAGAGTGTGATGGCCCTTCAGTATGTTTGTTCAAGATTTCCTTCTTGTGTACGTCACATGGAACTTATCCTCAGGAATCTAAGGAAAGTAAATGTAATTGAAATGAAAGTAAATGTCCTCCTTCACAGAGGAGGATATGAATAACATTCCAAAAATCTTAGAGAACACAGGATCGAGTGAGAGGGAGGAATGGAAGGAAATCAGTGTTAGCAGGGAAATGGTGTTGGAGAAATTGATGGATTAAATGACGGTAAATCCCCAGGGCTTGGTAGTTTCCATCACTAAGTACTTAAAGAAGTAACCCTAGAAATTGTAGATGCATTGATAGTCATCTTTTAATATTCTGTAGACTATGGAACAGTTCCTATGGATTTTTTTGCGGGTGTGGGGAGCTAATGCAAACCCTCTATTTAAAAAAGGAGGTGGACAGGAAACAGGGAATTATAGACCAGTTAGCCTGACATTGGTAGTGCAGAAAATGTTTGAGACCTTTTCATAAAAAGATTTAATAGCACAGCATTTAGAAAACAGGCACAGGAATACAGAGTCAGCATGAATAATGAAAGGGAAATCATGCTTAACAAATCTACTGAAATTTTTCAAGGAGTCAGCTTTTTTTAAGCAGAGTTGAATGTGGTTCACATGGGGCTTTCAGAAGGCTTTTGATTAGGTCCTACATAAGAAATTGGCATGCAAGATTAAAGTACCTAGGATAGGTGGTTGTGTACTGGCATAGCTGGCAGACAAGAAACAAACAGTAGGATTAAACAAGAGATAACAAGGTGT